CGCCGCTCTGTTCCCGGAGCGCACTGAGGGGCTTTCTTCACCGCCGTGGGAAAGTGGTGGGCGAGCGCGCGCCCTGACGGGTCAGCAGTGTGGACGGTAATTAGCCGGATTAGGGCTGGAGTCGCGCGGCCCGGGCGGGGCCTGCCCGGGAACAAAAGGCCCCTCTTTGCCCGGGCAAACCGCAGGGTCGCGAGGTCACAGAGTAGGGTCCCCCAGGAGCGGGTGAGGGGATGCGTGCCCAGAAAATGGGGCCTCTGTGCACCTGGTGGGGGCCGCTCGCGGGCCTGGGACCCCAGGGAGGCGGCAGCCCCGCTTCAGGGTGCAGACTTGGGGGCGCTGGCGGACAGCAGGGAGGAAGAAAATGGACAGAAGCCGAGAATGGAGGCCGGAGACGGGAAGACACCAAGGGAGCAAGAAGCTGGCTGTTCTTATTAATAATAGTGCCTGTGACATGGGCAACATTTATTGAGCGTTTGCTGTATATCAGCTCCACGCCCAGTCTGGGAGACATATACACCATCTGATTCAATCATCATAACGACCTCCTAAATCAGATACTGTCATATCCGAGTTTTACAGATAAGAGAGGTGAGGTGCAAGGGCTGTGGTTTGCCTGAGGTCACACAGTCAGAAGAGGTGCCTCACCTTTGCTGGCAGATAGTAAGCACCCAACAATGATGTGATGAATGAATGACAAGGTTGGCAGTGTCTGGAAAAGGCAGAAACACAAGAGAGCCCCTGGCCTCACCCCCTGGCCACCCACAGCCTGGGGATGCTTGGGAAGTGGAAGCTCCCAGCCTTCAGGGAAGCTGCCTGGGAGATCTACAGAGGGTGACAGGGTTGGCGGGGGGCGCTGTCAGCCCTGACACCTCACCCACTTGGGGCAGTGTAGAGGACACCAGTCACTAGGATCAGGGGCTCAAGGGATGGGACCTGTTTCTTTCCAGCAGCCCCCACAGAACTGTAGCCCCCTCCTGGCTCTCTGCCTACAGCCCCAGGTCTCTCCAAAGCCCAAGGCAGTGTGAAGGGCTGATGGAGCCCCACGGGAGTGGGAAGAGGAGGCCCTGGGGCCTTCCCCCACCACCCAGCCCTCACCAGCCATGCCTGAGGGTCAGAAAGGCTCTGACTTTCCAAAAGTCTTTTCTGTGCTGTGGGTGTCATGCCCCAGCTGACTAAACATCTCTCCTCACCGGAGATGTCATCAGAGACAACATGCTCCAACCCACAACCACCAGCAGGTGATGGGATGGGAGAAGCCAACAGGTGGGCCTCGTGTGGGGCATTAGGGGCCGTGGGACCTGTGGCAAAGCCTGCTGTCAACCAGACAGTCCCTGCTCACTGTGGCCCATGAGCGCCATATGGGCCGAGCTGGTCAGGCCAGAGCTTTTAAAGAGAAATAAGAATTCCAGGCCAGGTATGGTGGCTCATGCCTGTAATCCCAGCACTTTGGGAGACTGAGGTGGGTGGATCACCTGAGATCAGGAGTTCAAGACCAGCCTGGCCAACAGGATGAAATCCCAACTCTACTAAAGGTACAAAAATTATCCGGGCGTGGTGGTGCATGTCTGTAATCCCAGCTACTTGGGAGGCTGAGGCAGGAGAATTGCTTGAACTCGGGAGGTGGAGGTTGCGGTGAGCCAAGATCACACTACTGCACTCCAGCCTAGGTGACAGTCAGACTCCGTCAAAAATAAAGAAAAGAAATCCAGCTTTTTGGGTGGGATTTCTGAGTTGTAAAGCCTGAGGTGGGCCAGGCTAACCCAGGTAGGGGCCAGCTTCAGTGGCAGGTTGGCAGCTTCTTCTTCTTCTTGGTGCTCTGAGCCTCTGGAAGAAGAAACGCCCTGTTCCCTCCCGTCACACCCACTTCTCCCAGCTTCTCCCAGGCCAGTGAATAAAAGGAGGGAGTAGGTTGGGTGCTTGGGGATGCCCAGTCCCTGCCCACATCCCTGTGCCCTGCCTCAGAGCTGTTCCCTGCTAGACGCTGCACCTGCAGGCTGGAGAGGCTCAGGCAGGAAGTCTCCAGGCCACTGGAATCTGTGTGACCAGGCACATGGCCAAGAGATGGCGATCGTCACACCCAGCTCAGCTGGGGGAAGCCCAGTGACCCATTCAATGAGGGTTTCCTCTGGGGACACAGAACTGGGGTTTGCAAGCTGCAGGCCCAGGAGGAGGAAAGGCCTGCTTCCGCCTGACTCCCTCCCACCCCACCTCCACCCAGCTCCACCAGCTTCTCCCCATGTGTGGGGTTAATACTATCCCACTTCTAGGCCAAAGAAACTGAGGCGCAGAAGGCTGGTGTATTTGAAGGGAGTGGAGAGGGAGCATCTGAGGGTACAGCTTCAAGGAGCTCCAACAGTGAGATCTGTTGGAAAAGTGGTGTCTTCTTAAAAACTGACATGTGTTTTGCATGTTCCTTCCTAATATACACATGGCTATTCAATATGAAAATGATGGCAGTTTTCTTCCTACAGTCTGATAAATCTGATGCTCTCGAGGATGAGCCATGCTTGTTCTGAAGCGTCTGGAACCCCTGGCACTACCCCGTGTACCCACACAGTCCACACCCATGAGAGAGAGAAGCGGGGGCTGTACCCAGAGTCAGCTCATGACAAAGTGGACCTGAACCCAGGCCCCCACTTTCTTGGAGGGCATAATATGTATGAAGGGGGTTCTGTTACTGCTCATGCCTCTCCTTAGGTGCCCCATTGCCACCTCCTGGAAACTAGGGGTGGGGGAGGCCGCTTCTCCTTCCATGGGGCAGGCACAGCTGTGGCTCAAAGCTGGGCCCCTGACGGGTGACTGTCCGCCTACAGATCTGGAAATGCACAAACATGGATGTAGCCTCTGTTTTCTCCTCCTTTTGCAACCTCCACTTTCTCTCCTTTTTCCAACAAAAACTTCTACCATAGCAGTGGCTTCTTCCAGCTCCTGAGAGGGGCAGGCCTGGGCAGCAAAGGCCCGGGGTGTCAGGAGGGCCTCAGGCCCCGGGCTAACAGCTAAGAAGTGGCAGTAAAAATCCAGGGGTCAGGCCTCTCTCTCCCATGGCCCCTGAAAGAGCAGGAGTCAGGGAGCAGAGGCCAAGGGGTTGGGCAGCCAGAGAAAGGGAGGGGCGAGCAGGGGACAGCTGCCCTCGCAGGGAAGGAGGCAGTTCAACTCAGCTTGAACTCAGGGGAGGAGCTTTAGAACCAGGGCAGAGGGAAGAACATAAATCTCTGGGCCTCAGCAGCTCTGCAGAGTGACCTGGGGATCGGGGTGGCTCTTGCACCTCTTCCGCAAGGCCTCCCCACTTTTCCCTTCTAGTGGCTGACGGTGATTTCTGAGACCAACAGCCCAGGATCGCTGATGGCCCGGTAAACGCCTGCTTCCCGCCCCAACTCCCACCCCATCAGGGTGGGGGACAGGTTTAGGGGGGAGTGTTATTCAAAAGAAAACCCAGGTTCTGGTGAGAAAGCCTCCATTTCCAAGAAATGTCGGAAATATTTGGAGTTGTTTCAGTCCCCGATCAAATTTCAGAGCTCAGCATTCCCAGCCAGGCCCAGAACATTTCGGTCAGATTCCCCTCTTCCCCTCTTTCCCCACTTTGCAGACAGCCAGCTGGGGGACTCAAATTCCAGCCTGGGATGTGCAAGGCAGCAGTTCAGCCCTTTCTGCCAGTGGGAAAGGAGGAGTTTCATTCCAAGGTTTATGGCCAGTTACATTGACCACCTATTCAAAACTCCAGCCTGAAGGAAAACCAAATTCCCAAAAGTGTCTCCCCTGTCCCCAGCTCTCCACCCCTTGCCTACCTCCACCCTGTCTTCTGGGGCACAGGTATATACAGACACAGGTCTCCTGGCCTTGAGAGGCCAAACTACAGCATAGTCACCAAGGAGGCCTGCATCTCAGGAAGGGCGCAGAGAGGAATCTACTCTACCCGTCTGTGAGCTTGATATCACAGCTCTGGACATGCACTGAGGAAAGATGGGTTTGTCCGTCCAAAATGCAGTAAGCCATGAATGAGTTCAGCATCTGATCCAGGTAGCCTCTGTGTCCTGCTGATGGGCTGAGGGAGGACACTAGAATGGCCAGGCCCCCGTGGGTGGATTCCAGCCAGCCTTTCATAGCATCCTCTGCCATGTGGGCCTGGAGGGTGGAGTAGTTCAGGTTGAAGGCTTTGTGACTTCTCAGGGGCTGGACCTCGAGGCCTGCCTGGGGTGGCCTGGTGAGAGCTTCTTGCACAGCGTTGGCCCTGCCTGGTCCCTTCAACACGTTTATCAGAAACTTGAGTGGACATGTGGCTGGTAGAATTTGCAGATCATCCAAGCTGAGAAGAGTGGGAAGTGCACTGAATAATAAAAATTGGGATCCAAGAAGGTTTGGTCAGTCTGGGTGAATAGGTCACATTTAGAGATGAGTCTGAAGGGGGTTCTGTGTAAGGATCTGCTTGTGGCACCCAAGAAATCCACAGCGTCAGTACAGGTTAATAAAAGACTGAAAGATTGTAGGTACTCAGATGAGTGCCAATCAACTGTGACATGAATCTGCACAAAACAGTGGTGTGATCTTCAGGCACATTAAGGGAAGTCTTGTTTCGTGTCAATTTCTTGTGGGTCCTCTGACCACTCACATTAACAGCCTTTGGGGCTTGTTAAAAATTCAGGCTTCTGTGCCCATCCTGGATTCTTTAACTGAACTCTATAGGGATGGAGCCCCAGAATATGCATTTATAGCAACCTCCCAGGTAATTTTTGAGAACATTTGCAGCTCTTCGTGTCATGCTGGGCCCTCTTGCCAGGATGATCCTCCCTCTTGGCAAAGTAAGTGGGTGCCTGCCCAATAAAGCTTCCCTCTCTGCTAGAAATTCAACTAGCGGAGCTTTGCTCCTTGGGTTCGGACCTTGCCCCTACAAATGGCCTTGTCAACGAAGATGTTAGAGGATGAAGACAGCTGGCCAATGGCCAAATTGTGGCTGGGGCCCCTGGGTGGAGACGCAGGCTAGACTTCCCAGACAAGAACAAGGCTTAATCATATTGCCCAAGGGCCATGATCTAGCTCAGCCTGAAGCCAGGCGAGGCTGAGAAATAAGCCATTTGTTCTTCATTGGTGTGGGAAGAGTGCCAGCTTTGGAGAAGCAGCCTGGACATTGGACTGTGACCCTGAACATTGCCTTCAACATCTGTGAGGCTCAGCCTCCTCCTCTGAGATGATGATGATGCATTCCTCACGCAGCTATTGTGAGCAGGTGGAATAATGTATGTAAAGCCCCACGGGGCTTTGGCATACAGTAGACGCTCAATGTTGCTTGTTGAATGCATGAGTAGGTAAATGCATAGTGAAATGCACAGGTGGAAGAATGGACAGATGGATGGACAGATACCCTCTGTGGATTCCTCTTTCTTACTTGCAGACACTCAGCCTGTGTCTCAGAATTGATTATCCCTGCCGTCCTCCACCCCAGCCCCCAGCATAGCAACCTGACATATCACAGATGTCTTGCTTTGGGGCCCAAGTTGTGTCTCCTAGGAAAAGCTCCTCTCCTTTCCCCTTCCCTCTCCCCTTAGTGCCCTTTTCCAAGCCCCTATCCAACTCCAGGGTACTCCTCTTTGACATTAGGTCTCCAATTCAGAGCAGGGGCCTATCTCAAGGCACAGCCCTCACTGGTTCCCCCAGGCCCGCCTCCAGTTGCTACTGACTGCAGCTCCGTTCACCTTTCTGGCCAGCTTGCAGGAGCAGCCCCATCTTCAGACTGGCTAGGATTTGTGGAGGAAAATCAGCTGAGGAAGGCATAGATCCTACCCTCTTGGAACTTGGAGTCCAGGAGGAAAAGTAGGACACAGTTAAAAGGCGGTCACCACTGAGTGTGAGAAAGCATTCCTAGCTGGCAGAATTAGGGAAGACTGTGTGAAGAGGACGACATTTGGATCTTCAAGACCTGGTACATTTGGGCATGCAGAGCTGGGGAAGAGCATTCCAAGAAGGAACAGCCGAAGCAAAGGCAGAGAGGGCCAAGTGGAAGATGGTTGTGTCTGGCAGGAGCACAGGCGAGGGAGATAAACCAGGAGAGCCCAGATCCATTTGGGAAAGCCACTGTGCAAGGCCCTGAATCCAAACTGAGGCATTAACTTGACTCCTGAACATCAATCCAAGCAGAAGCAGGGGCTGTCATCTGCCTGTGGCCTCTATCCCTTTCCCCTAGGGACTCCAGTCACAGCCTCTCCCTGTACCTGCCACTGCTCTCCCAGCAGGCATCCCTGAGTGGCCTGGCTCCCAGGGAAAGGGTCATTCACTAGGCCTTCCTTGATTCACAGCAGCTCAGTGGACCATCTCTTCTGGGGCCATCTGCATTTACAAAGCAGCACAGACTGTCCATCACTGGTTCCAAGGAATGAATGGAGGAAGTTCAGGTGTTACACAGGCTGTTGGACATGTAAGGCCTGAACTTACACCCGAGGGTTGTCTGCTGATACCTGTGTGAGGGTGAGGAGCTATTCAGCCCCAGATACATGAAGCCAGTCCCTTGGTTGTAGGTCACCCTCTCTTCCCCAACTCCCTACAGCCTGCAAGTGGCAGGTCTGGCCTCTGCACTTTCCCCAGCTAATCCAAGCCACACAGAGAGCAGCCAGCCCTCCAGCGAGTCTTGTTTCACTGGAATGTTGGCATCAAACTTGAGATCGGAAATGAACTCATTATCTGATTATTTTTATTTATGAAAATATAACTTCTCTGGGAGAGGCCTTTCTAAGTGGATGAGTAATTCTCTCCCCTTCACACACACATGCTCAGACTCATATGTTCAGTCACACGCGTACTCAGAAACTCAGATATTAAGACCTCTCTTCAGATACACAAACACACAGGCAACCACATGTTCCTTTAGGTACACATGCACCACGTGGAGATGTATGCTCTGGATCTACTAACACCTTTGAGGACAGAGACCTTGGCTCTTTCATTTACTGTTGAATCCCCCATCGCACATAATAGGCAAGAGTAAATATTTGCAGAATGAATGAATGAATGGCTAAGTCATAGATGCACGCACACATACACACATGATTACACAGACACACACACTTCCATGCATACTCATATATCCAGGCTCTCTCCCTCTCTGGAACAAAGTCAGTGAATCCCTAATCCTGCAGCCTGAAGTCTTCACACCATGAACTGCTTCATGAACATAGCATCCAGGACCTTCCAGTGGAGATGCCGGTTGGCAGTTCCCAGTAGGCCAAAGCAGCATTCCCCCGACACACTAAGGCCTCGCCAGATGCTCACCACCGTCTCAGGCCTTGCCAGCCTGAGACCAAATGTGTTGGTCTGGCCAAGAAAGCCTGTGAGGGTTACTCAGGGCAGATTGTTTTCCAGGAATGTTCTCTGCGCGCTGCCCCCACTCACCCATGGCTGGCTCACTGGCAGGTCCTGGCATGGGGTCTTGGGTAATACCAGCCCCTAGGCTCTGTCTCTTTCTCCTCCAGCTCACAGCCATGACTCAGGCTATTCAAGGCCAGTAAATGTCTCCCTGGGAGGGAACTGGGCCAGAGCCATAGCTGGTGGCCAGGCAGGGGTGGAGACCCCAAGAAAGAACTGCCCGGAGACTGATCTCAGGGCAGAGCACTCAGTGGGTCCATAATGTTGAGCCGTGACTACCTCTGCATTCCTCTCCACAGAGAGGGCAGTCTTTATATGGTTGGAAGCGCTCTGGGTTAGAGAAGATGCACCTGAGGTGACCTCCCTGCTGGTCACATATGGGCCATGTGGCTTTGGACAGGTCATTAACCCGGAGCTTCAGTTTCCTCCAGCACCTTGGGCAATCGCATCCTTCCTGTTCAGCTGCCTCAGTCCCCATGCTCTCCTGACTTGAAGAAGAACCCGCAACTCCCTCTGTAGCATTTCAGGCCTCTTCAAGTGACTCTTTATGGCTTTTCGTTTGTTTGTTTGTCTGTTTTGAGACAGGGTCTCACTCTGTCACCCAGGCTTGAGTGCAGTGGTGTGAACATGGCTCACTGCAGCCTTGCCCTCCCAGGCTTAAGCAATCCTGTCACCTCAGCCTCCTGAGTAGCTGGAACTGTAGGTACAGGCCACCACACCCTGCTAACTTTTGAGTTTTTTGTAGAGATGGGGTTTCACTGTGTTGCCCAGGCTGGTCTTGAACTCTTGAGCTCAAGCAATCTGCCTGCCTTGGCCTCTCAAAGTGCTGGGATTATAGGTATGTGCCACCATGCCCAGTCTCCAGTGGCTCTATAAGGCATGAGTCCTCTAGGGTGGGTCTTTCCATTCCTCATAGACAATAGTATGAAAGAGTGCCTGACCTTCCCAAGAAGCTGCACCTGGAATGGGGAGGGCGCTGGGAGGTGGGGACAACTTCCATTAACTCTATTGTGTCCCAAAGCCTAGCCAGTAAGAAGGAAGGACTTGACCTCTTAAAACTCCAAGTCTGGCGGGGCATGGTAGCTCACACCTGTAATACCAGCACTTTGGGAAGCGGAGGCAGACAGATCCCCTGAGGTCAGGAGTTTGAGACTTGCCTGGCCAACATGGCAAAACCCCCGTCTCTACTAAAAGCACAAAAATTAGCTGGGCGTGGTGGCACATGCGTGTAGTCCCAGATGCTCTGGAGGCTGAGCCAGGAGAATGGCTTGAACCCAGGAGGCGGAGGTCGCAGTGAGCTGAGATTGCACCATTGCACTCTAGCCTGGGAGACACAGCAAGACTCCGTCTCAAAAAAAAAAAATTTAATTTAAAAATCCTCAGGTCTCCCAGGAATTCCACTCCTAGTTGTCCACCCAAGGGAAATGAATGCATGTGTCCATGACTAGGTATGCACACCAATGCTTTGTTCATAGCACCTCAAACTAGAACACACAAATATCCATCAACAGAGGGGCTAAACAAATCGTGGCATACTCATATAAATAGAATACTACACAGTGATTAGAACACAACAGCAAAAAGTATCTGCTACGCACAACTGCATGGGTGAATCTCCCCATGGTGCCTGGCCAGAGAGGGTGCCCATTCCTGGTGGGTGTCAGTTCTGGGAAGTCCCTAGATCTCCCAGGTACCATGGCCTGCCCGCTATGTGGGGCGCTGGCTGAGGGCTGGTGGGCAGTCCTTGGGCAATTGCATCAATCACATTATGTTGAGTAAAATAAGCCAGACATGAAGGGACTGTTAGATACCATTTGTATGAAGGTCAGGAACAGGTGAAATGAATCTAGGATGATAGAAGTCAGACTAGTGGTCACCCTCAGGGATGGTATTGATTGGCACAAGGGAATCAGCTTTGGAGCTGGAAATGTTTCAGATCTTGATCTGGTGGTTCCATGGGTCTAGACACACATGTGGCAATCCGTTGAGCTGTCCATTTATGCTCCATTAACACTATTGTATGTAAGTTACAATGGGGAGGAACCAAGTCACAAAGGATCTAATCCACACAGAAAGGCAGAAAGGAGGATATCTAAAGGGAGCTTGCAGGGTTTGGGCCAGGACGGCTAGGGAACAAGAATAGAGTGGAGCTAATAGTGGAAGAGAAGACTTAGAGCATTCTCCCCAGAGGGGCTGAGCACCCACCCAAGGAGGGCTGTGGGGAAAGACAGGGCAGGGACTGGACCTCCAACAGACCCCACACATGCCAGATCAGGTCAGGCTGCCCTTCAGTGGGTTTCCTACACAGCTGGTGCCTCGAGACTGGGACCCAAGGAGGAAGCAGCTCTCAGGTGCATACTGTCTGGCCCTCATTCCTTCTTCCCTGCCCACAGCTGTAGGACCAAGAAGAGGCTGAGCCCCAAGTCCCTTTTAGTTCCAGTTAATAGGCAAACTCAATCTGCCCGAATGTGCTTAAAAGTGTAAAGGAGAGGACCTTGCTTTATCCTCAACTAGACTCCTGGATAGAGTCTCTCATAAGAGAATATTCTAGAACCTGCAGGCTGGCTCACCACTCTGAGCCTCTTGATGATGGTCTGTGGACCCAAGAGTGCAAGAATGCATGTCAGGTGTGTGTCTGCCTGTGAGTATTGTTTCCCTGTAATGGGGTCTTCAGAGCTCTGGTCACATCCCCAGCCCCTCTTCACTCTGCTCTCTTGACTCTTTAGCACCCCTGCCCCTCCCTTCCTGGATACCCCTGGTCTTCCTGCTGCCCCTGACACTCCTGCCTTGACATTGGGGTCTGATGACCTTTTCCCAATGATGTGGAGAGACCAAGTCCCAATCCGTCTTGGACTTTTTTAAAGGAACACAGGGAAGGCAAAATGTAAGCATAAGCCTTGCTTTCAAGTGCCATGTCGGCAACTCAGAATTTCACCATGCTGTGGGTCTGGAGGGCTAACTGTGGGCAATTACTGGCATTCTGAGGGCCATGGAGCTAAGGGCATAGCACCCACCCCAACCCCTGAAGCTTCTGAGGGACAGAACTGCTAACTCCCAGCAGTCTGTGAGGGACCAGATGAGACCAGTGAGAAGCTGCCAAGCCACAAACAGCGCTGGCCACACCCACCACATCTGCCTCTCTGGAATAATGGAGGGCACTGGGGCTCCTTTCCCCAGGCCCAGCCTTGTCCCCCTCTCCTCCCCTGGGCAGCCTCTGCTCCAGCCAGGCCTGTTTCCTTACGTGCCCTCAAAAGCCATCCTCAGACCTCCCCCGTCGGCCCCCACTCAGCGGCAGATGCGTCTTGCACATTCACCGAGGTGAATGCCAGGTGAATCAGGCTTCCTTGAAGCAGGTGCACTCGCTCCACAGGTGAGGAAATCTTGGCTGAGAAATCCAGCAGCTTCCCTGAAGTCACACAGTTGACAATCAGTGAAGCCAGGATTCAAAAGACCCTGCTGATCAAACAAGATGCAACCAAGAAGCCAACCAAACCTGGCAGTGGGACTCCAGAGCCGGCCCCACCAACCCCTGATGGTCTGTCAATTCCTACCCTGAAGCCCAGCGTGTCCTTTGGCGGAGGCTAGGGAATATGGTGACCAAAGGCACCAGCCAAGGAGTCAGACTGCCTGGGTTCCCCTTCCAGCTCCTTCTCTCCCTGTGTGGATGCGTGAGTGCGTTACCCAGCCCTGTGTGCCACAGTTCCCTCCTCTGTATCACGTGAAGGCACATGGATGGGACTGGGTGGTATAGGCACTCCTGCCCACTCAGAGCTCCCATGTCCCACTGCCTAGTAAAGACCACCTTTGTCCTTGGCCCCATACTGGGTCCCGTCTGTCGAGGTGGAGCGCAGGCCTGTGGTACAATGCAAGGTGACTGCGTGTAGTCCCTGCACCACAGAGAGCCATGGGATGGGGGCTGAGTTAAAAACTCACAGACCCCTCATCAACACAGTGGCCAGCACATGTGCAGCCCTGTGCCAGGGACCATGGAGCTCACCAACCATGCTCCTCCAGCCCATCTGGAGCTTCCGCCCCCAATCCCAGCACCCGCTTCATCATAGCTATTGCATCCTTGAACGCGCCATAATACGTTTTCCTGGATCTCATCTGTGAATTTCCCCAGTTAGGCTGTGAGTACCCTAAAAGCAAAGACTCTAGTTTCCCCTTCCTCCATCTCTGATAAAGGCTGGTCCAGACATCGGGCCCTCAAAACACACTTGAAATGGATGGAATTGGGTTTGGGGGCTTACATACTAGAACTTTGGATGGCTCATTAAATATTCTTTCTTACTATAGGTGGAAAAAGGAACAATATGGGGGGTGGATGTGGACTTGGATGCAAATGTATGCAAACCACTGTGCAATGATATGCAGATGTGTGTCCTGGATCTGTGGGAGGGAGTGCCAGGACTTCAGAATCCTGGTTCCGGCGGGCTTTGCTCTCCGAGGGGCTCTGTGCCTGCAGGGGATCTTGCCATCTTTCGTGGCAATGCTGAGAGCTGGCTGCCGTGCAGCATTCTGGCGCCAGTGGAAACCATTTGGGGATCCATGTCATCTTCTGATCCTCTGTGAAGCTGCTCCCACCCACCAGGGCAGATGAGCCAACAGGAGGCTGTAAAGACAGAGGCCTGCCTGAGGAAAGGCTGGTGTGTAGCCAGAGCTGGAGGTTCCTGGGTTCCAGAGACACAGCTCTGGGGGACCATGGAGTGTGGGACCAGGGAGGAAAGACCACACTTGGTCTCATTTCCAGCTCTCTGCTGTGGCCACCAGTGGGAAGCCCATGGCTGCCTGCCACTCCCCATAGCCACTCCCAGCCCTAGGCTGTGCTGTCCACCAGCCCTCAGCCAGTGCCCCACATGGCAGACAGGCCATGGCACCTGGGAGATCGAGGGACTTCCCAGCACTGAGAGCCACCCTGTATGGAGCACCCTCTCTGGCCAGACACCATGACCAAACACTTTAACCTTTTTTTTTTTTTTTTTTTTTTTGAGATGGAGTCTCACTCTGTCACCCAGGCTGGATTATGGTGTCTCAATCTTGGCTCACTGCAATGGCCGCCTCCTAGGTTTAAGCTGCCTCCTGGGTTCAAGCTGGGATTACAGGTGCCCACCACCATGCCCAGCTGATTTTTGTATTTTTACTAGAGATGGGATTTCGCCATGTTGGCCAGGCTGGTTTTGAACTCCTGACCTCAGGTGATCCACCTGTCTCGGCCTCCCAAGGTGCTGGAATTACAGGTGTGAGCCACCGTGCCTGGCCTTAACCGTATTATATCATTTAATCCTTGACAGCCCCACCAGATAGGCAATAGTGTTATGATCCTTATTTTATGGATAAAGAAACAGAGGCCAAGGTCATCCAACCTGCAAATGGTAGAGCTGGATTCAAACTCAAAACTGTCAGACTCCAAAAGTGTCCCTCTTAACTGCCACTACCTGCCTCCCCTCCCACACCACAATGGCCACTGTGCACCCAGTTCCCATGAGGGACATCTGGGGAGGAGGACAAATCCAGGGTTGAGAGGGGGAAAGTTCCAGTGTAGCGGTTGGGGTTCTGCCCTCATGCAAGGTAAGGTAAACTGGCAGCCACCTAATTGAAACACACACAACCCCTCTACACCCCCCTGCCTCACCTAGAATGTCCCCCAGTCAGCTACTGCAGCACCTGGAGTCCAACCATTAGAACCTCATATGCTTTTTTTCAGAGAATGTTTTTTCTGTGGGACAAGCACTGCTTTCTTTTCCTTTTTTTTTTTTTTTTTTTTTTTTTGAGACAGAGTCTCTCTCTGTCACCAGGCTGGAGTACAGTGGCCCAATCTCGGCTCACTGCAATCTCCGCCTCCCGGTTTCAAATGATTCTACTGCCTCAGCCTCCCAAGTAGCTGGGACTACAGGTACGTGCCAGCACACCCAACTAGTTTTTGTATTTTTAGTAGAGATGGGGTTTCACCATGTTGGTCAGGCTTGTCTCGATCTCTTGACCTCATGATCCACCCACCTCGGCCTCCCAAAGTGCTGGGATTATAGGCGTGAGCCACCACACATGGCCACTGCTTTCTTTAGCCTCCTATTTTAAAAGACAAATCCCCTTGGAAGGCAGGAGAGGCTGAGTCAGCAGGGAGGTCTTAGAGAAATGGATACAAAGCCAGGAGGGCCCAGAAGGCAAATTCTGTGATCAAATTCATTGATGCTGTGGCCCTGGGATGATGATGACAGTGACGGTGATCCCAGACACCCTGCCCAGGGCACCTGCTACTCTTTCCCTCTGGTTGCACAGCACATTCCACACCCTGCAGACTCTCAATCAGTGGTATTCTAATTAGCAGAAGGGTAAGCTGAAGAGATATAGTGGAACTGCAATTTTCACTCCATTTCACAGTCCAGGAAACTGAGGCCCAGAGAGGCTGTGAGTAGCTCCAAGTTGACAGTGGGTCACAGCAGAACCAGATCAGTACTCAGGTCTCCAGAGTCAGGGGGAGGGTACAATGAGAGGCTGGTGAGTGGCATCCCGCCTGGCAACACAACCCTGGAGGCCCCATCTCCTTCAGAGAAGTCAAGGGGGCAAGGTCAGGAGGAAGGGGAGATAGGACAGGGGCAAAGAGGTGATGTGAGGGGAGCAGGCTGGGCCGTCAGTGCCTGGAAATCTTCAGGGGCTCTGCAAGGCAGCCCAAGGCCGGGGTTCCCACAGCGGCAGGTGGGCACCAAGCGGGCCAGGCCGGACAGGGCTGGCACCAACTCTAGCAGGGGTGGAGGTGCCAGCTCTCACCCGCCAGCCGGCCTGCCAGCTGGGGAAGCTTAATTAGAATTCCTCAGCCCTCCAACCCATTTCCTTCCTGGTGAACAGGACAGCTAATGGCCCCTGTCGCCTGCTGCCAGGGTGAGGTGGGTCGGGCTGGCAGCTTCATGCCGGGTTGGGGGTAGGTGTGACCTCTAACAACCCAGGAAGCGTGCCTCTCCTCTGCCTTGCGGGAGGGAGCAGCCCCCAGTGTGACCCGAAATTTCCCCAAGTTAAAGACCATCTGCCTGTCTATCCATCCCCCCAGGGCCCAGGGGGCTGGTGAGTGTGGACAGACAGACACGGTCTGTGGGAAGCTGCAGTGATTAATGAGTGATGAAAACCAGACTCCGTCAGGATGGGGGTGGGGACAGAGAAGCAGAGAGAGGCTGTCCATCCTATGCTTGGCTCAGCTCTCAGCCCACAGCTCAGGGGAGGAGGGTAGAGGCAGCTGAGGGTAGTACTGGGCCCTGGCCTCAAAGCCCCAGCCTGAGAATACGACGCCACTTCATGGACACCCCCCTCATCTCCCAGCACCTCCTTCAGCCTCTGCCCTGGAAAGGCTCCCCCAGAAGGAACTAGCTTTACCCCCAAATCCTAGGGACTTGCACTGGCCCTCAAATACCCTCTGTCCTAGAACACCCCAGAAGCCACAGGAAACAGCAGAGGAAACAGCCTCACCAGCCCTCCACCTTCTTGTCATGGGGCCAACTATTCTGGGGCCCAGACCCTGAAGCTCCTCTCGCCCCTCACCCCCACAAACACGTGGTCACGCCCACAGCCCCGGACTCTGCCCCCAGGACCTGCTCGGCCCAGGCTTCACCCTGGAAACTGTGAAAAGTTGAAGTCAAGCAGATTTTTCTCATGTGTCTAGGACAGCAAAAGCTACATCTAAGACGATTCCGCTCAAACCTCCAAACCTGCAAATGCACAGCCAGGAGAAACCCAAGCAGGAGAGAGGCTTGCACATCCACTGCCTTTGGCCCCCCACCCGACAGACACCTGGAGGGACCTTGGCAACATCCTCCGCCCCAGCCAGAAAATATTCCCATGCTGGCCCGTGTGCCCTGGGGACCTGGGATTCCGCCATTCAGCCCTGCCCTCCCTCCAGAGAACTGAACTCGAAGAGTCTTTAGGAGGCTTTCAGTGTGTCGCTCCTCCCAGAGCCTGGGATCTGGCCAGGGAGGGCCTGAAAGAAGGAAATGGGGTACGGATAGAGGAAGTGGCTTCGGGAAGGTGGAGCACCAAGGCAAACTTTGCTGACCGAGGACTCTTGCTGCTGGCTGACCAGGCCTGCCTGTCACGAGAATGTTTTCTGGTTGTGGAAAAAATATTTCCAAGGTAATTGTCTTGCTGTGGCCAGGCCCGTGGGTGAGGAAGGCAATAGGGAGTGCTTCCTTCTGGCCTGCCAGGTACTTTGTACGTATCTGTTGGCTCATTGTATCTAGAAACTCCTTCTGAAGAAACTGAGGCTTGGGGAGGTTGCCTGCCCCCATACACCCCTCAGGGGCTAAGTGACAGAGCTGAGATCCCGGGTCGGCTAGACACAAAGCCCTCCTACTTTCTGAAAGAAGCCCTACCCTGCTGGAGAGGGAGAACTGGACACCATCTGGGAAGAATTAAGGAGGTTTTTAGAAAAGGCCTCTCTCTGCAGGAATGAGAAAACCTTCATCAGGGCTTCTTAATCAATAAAGCAAGAACAAAACTCTCTCCCTGCAAACATTTCTGGACTCCCAGGAGATGCCTGACTGTGCCCAACAAATGATTAAGAAAGCGAGTCTAAAATTTTTAAAATCCCCACCCCGACAAGTCAGAGAATGCTATGTACTGGATGTGGGGGAGGGGAAGCCGAAGCGCATAGCTCCTTGGATCTCAGTTCCTGTCTCTTGCCTTAACAGAGCCCAGGCTTGTCATCTGAGAGTTAGGGGGAGGCTGAGGTCACTGCCCTTCTCTGGTTTCTGCCAAGAGCTCTGCTCTTCTCCAAGGAGGTGGCAGGGCTGGGATGGCTTTGCACCCTGCAGGCTGCGGCAGGATGGCATCTGCCGGGGCGCGTCTTAGAAAGGGGAGTGTGAGATGCAGGTCTCCCAGCTCTGGTGCTCCTGCCCAAGGCTGAGTGTCTGTGGTTCCTTTGTGGCTGTTCAAGTGAGAAAAGCATTCGTGATGGCAAAAATCAGCTAGACTCAGCCCTGAGCTCCAGCCGGGCACCTGCAACCTGAGCGTCTCACTTAGCCTGTCCCATCTGCAAAGGGGGAGTCATCAGATGCTTCCCAAAGACCTTCTCAGGGTAAAATGAGAAAGCGGAGTATATTCATTTTCTATTATTACAAAGTTAGCAGCTAAAACACTACCCATTTTTATTTCGCAGTTCTGGTCAGAAGTCCAGGTGGGCTCAGCTGCAGTCTCTGCTTAGGGTCTCACAAGGCTTAAAATCAAGGTGTGAGCTGGCTGGCTCCTAACTGAAGCTCTTTTCCAGAAGCCTTGGGAAAGCATCTGCTTGCAAGCTCATTCGGGTTGTGGTGGAATTCCACTCCTGCAGTTGCAGAACTGAGGTGGCTGTCAGCCAGGGATCCCTATCAGCTCCTTGAAGCTGCTCTCTCTCGGGTCCTGTCCACATGGTCCCCTCCTTCTTCAAGTCATCAAAGATGCATCAAGTCCTCCCTCACACTTCACATCTGTGACTTCCTCTCCTACCGGCAGCCAGAGAAAACCCTCTGCTTCTAAAGGGCTCGTGTGATTAGATTCGGCCCCCTACCAGCTAATCTTTCTTTTCTTGGACTCAGAGTCAACTGACTTCTATCCTGAATGTTGTCTTTGAAATCCTTTTGCCATATAATTTCACAGGATCGTGGGTTGATGTCTCATCATGTTCAGGAGTTCAGATAGAAATCTTGGGGGCCATATTTACAATTCTGCCTACATGGGAGGCAAAGTGCTTTGTCATGTTGAAAGTGCCAGACTTAGGCTTTCCTTCCCTCTGCCCCAGGAGTGCAAAGGGTGGCACTGGACTAGAGGTGGCTGCCTCCTCTTGAGCCTGCCTCTAGGCTTTTCATGACTTGGAGAGGGAGCCCTATCTCAGGACCCCGGGACTTAATCCTGTCCATTGCCTTCCCCTTCCAGATCTTCAGCCACTCCATACCCAGCAGGTTCCTTCCTGGGCTCTGCCCTTCCTTCAGACTCTCTGGGCCCCACCCCTTCCCGGGATCTATGATGGCCGTTTACACTCGCCTGCTCCCATCTCTGTCCACTGGAGCCTGACCCCTACTGGCCCCCACTGCCTTAATCTGTTCTCCCTCCCCTTATCCCAGTGGACACCTTCCAGGCCATCTCTGCCAGGCCTTCCTGTGACGGCAGCCACAGAGTCTGTTTTGTACCTGTGCTATTCCTAGCACCCGGCCCGGTGAGGAGCTTAGCAGACATGCTAGTGAGCATTCATCATGGTGTGTCTGGATCCATGTATCTATGTGGTCCCTGTGCTAAAGGGCTCCCTGCCTGCCCCAAACCTGAGCATACATCATCCACTCCCCCCTCAGCAAGTGACACTCGTGTCACTCTCTTCCTCAGCCTGAGGGCAGTGACAAAAGTGAGAGGCCACAGGAGTGGGTCCATCAGGATAAAAGGCCAGCACTGACCCTGTTCTGTCTCACGCCACGGCCCCCCACGCCCACACACACACACGCCCACAGCAGAGGCTCTGCGTTCTCTTTGGCCCAAGGCTGGGGAGGGCAAGAGCAACCACCCACCAGGCTTCTGCCCCTCACCATACCTGGGCTTCAGTTCAGCTGACCCCTCTAGGACTTACTTATGCTGGCCTCAATCTTTCCTCTTTTTTTTTTTTTTTTTTTTTTTTTGAGATGGAGTCTCACTCTATCTGAAATGCAGTGGCGAAATCTCAGCTCACTACAACCTCCGCCTCCAAGTTTCAAGCGATTCTCCTGCCTCAGCCTCCCAAGCAGCTAGGATTACAGGCACCCACCATCACACATGGCTAATTTTTGTATTTTTAGTAGAGACGGGGTTTCACCATGTTGGCCAATCTGGTCTTGAACTCCTGACCTCAGGTGATCCACCCTCCTCGGTCTCCCAAAGTGCTGGGATTACAGGCGTGAGCACCCGGCCAATCTTTTTTCATTCCGTCCCTGAATTTAGGCCTGTGTTCTCTTCCCCCAGAGACCCACCCACTTCCTCTTGGGAGTCCAGCCGAGGACAGTGTGGTTTGAATAACGTTCTAATCCCAGCCCCAGAGCTCTGAGAGAAAAAATGACTACAAACCCTGGAATGTGAAGCCTGCTGCTTCCTGCAAAGCATTTTGAATGAAACACGTAACCAACAGCTGCAGCACAGAAAATGGAAACTCTGAGGGACGTCATGGCTCCAGGTCCCAAATAGCAGGGTTGTGAGCAGGACACGCTCTTCATTTCAGCCCAGCCTGGACACCCTCAGCACCACCTGCTTTCCTTCCAGGAACCAGGCCCATCATGCCAAGGATGTGCCCCTGTTACTCACTTAATCCAAACATCCCCAGCCCCCAACATAGCCAGACAACCCCATGTATAAGGGTGAGACCCCCTTCCCACTCACCAGCCACCAAAGTCATCTAGGACCTCCCAGCCCAGCCACTCTGCCCTTTCAGGAGCAGGCTAATGCATTCCCCATGATCCCCATCCTGGAACTCAGCCCCAGGCCAGACTGGGCAGTGCCATCCAATTCGTGCAAAGAGGGAAGATATCATTGCTGAAGCTGCTCTAGGGCAGACTTGGGGTGAGGGGGCAGGTCAGAGAGCCCATGAGGAGCAAGAGGCCCCAGAGTTGGTGAATTCCTAAAGACCACTCCTGCATGAAGGGAAGACACGCGAACATTTTTTCAACATTTTTTCATTTTTTTAGAGGAGATATAACACACTCAGTAAAACATACTCTTCTTAATGGTGTGGCTTAATGAATTTTCATATACATACACACCTGGATGAAATACAGAACATTGCAAATACCCAGAAGTTCCCCTGGATCCCCTTCCCAGTCAATATTCATTCCCCTCAGAGATGAACATGATTTTGAACTTCTCTCATTATCTCATTATTCTGTTGCTTACAGTGAGTTACAAGCCTGGATGAGATTCAGCATGGGAGGGAGTTCTACAAGAGAATGACTATCTTCAAGGGCCATCTTTGGAGAGTAGCTACCACTCCCCAGGAAAGAAAATTATTTTCTTTTTTCATTTATTCAACAAACACTCACAGTCAGGCACATAGTTCCTTCTGAAGTACAGCATTTAAAGTAAACAATACTTTTGTGTGACTCACTGTGGTTCAAGATACCAGCCGCTGAGAGGCTCTGTAAAGGGCAAATAACATTCATTGAGAGTTTACTACATACCAGCCCCTGAGCTCAGTGCTTTACAAAATCTAAGTCATTTACTCCTTACTCATTTTCCCTCCTTTGAAGTAGGTATTACTGTTTGTCCTATTTTCTAGATCCCTTAGAAAAGAGGTTATCTATTGCTGAATAACAAACCACCCCCAAAGTTAGTGGTTTAAAACAATGAGAATGATTTATTATCATTCGTGGTCTCTTTGGATCAGCTGGGAAGTTCTGGCTTGGGGTTTCATGAAGTTGTAGTCAGACTGCCCGAGGATAGGGGCAGGTTCAAGGCTTCCTCACTCACAGGTCTGGCACCTGGACTGGGAGGACACACACACATGTGGAGGCTGTGAAAGCCAGAGTCTTTCAGCCATCTCTATATCCATGTGGCCTCTCCACATGAGCTCTCCAACACAACAGCCCCAAAATGCTAGACTTTTTTACATGGCCACTCAGCGATCCCCAGGCACACCTCCAGAGAGAGAAAGCAAGACAGAAGCTGCGTCACTCTTCCTAACCCATGCGTACTTGGAAGCCATGCAGTGTCATTTCTACCTCATTCTATTTGTTAAGGCAGTTAAAAGGCAGCCCAGGTACAGCAGGAGGGAGAAACCATTCCATTTCTTGACAGGAAATGTGTCAATGATCTGAGCCATACTTAAAACCACCATAGTCTATCCTCTGGACATAAGTTATTTACATTCCTTTCATATACAAAATATACTCATTCCTTTCCAAAGATCCCCCAATGTCTCATCTATTATGACATCAGATTTAGGCTAGAGAGGTCTAGGACCCCATTATCTAAACCATCCAGGTATGGAGGAAGTTCCTCAGCTGCAATTCCTCAGGCACGTTTCATAAGTACTATTCCTCTTTATCCAAAGATTTGTGAACTAAAGACACAAGTTATCTGCTACTGGGCCGGGCACAGTGGCTCACGTCTATAATCCCAGCACTTTGGGAGGCAAGGCAGATGGATCACCTGAGGTCAGGAGTTTAAGACCAGCCTGACCAACATGGTGAAACACTGTGCCTACCAAAAATACAAAAATTAGCTGGGTGTGGTGGTGGGCACCTGTAATCCCAGCTACTCCACAGGCTGAAGCAGGAAAATCACTTGAACTCAGGAGACAAAGGTTGCAGTGAGCCAAGATCACGCCATTGTACTCCAGCCTGAGCAACAAGAGTGAAACTCTGTGTCAGAAAAAAAAAGTTATCTGCTACTTATACACTGAACATCCAATGATGAGATAGGCATAGCATAGACCCTATAAACACTCTCATTCAAGAGAGGGGAAAGGAGGCACACAGCCATCACTTGTCCATAGCAATTCTAAAATCCATTCAGGCTCATATTGTATTGCCAATTCTTGATTAGGGCTCAGTCCTACTGCCTGGGAATGATTCTTTGTGGCTTTTGGCTCTGTTCTCTAGATTCTTGGCTCTGCCT